GTGGCCTTCGACAGCCTTCCTATGCTACCCAGGTTGGTGGCTTGGAGTGGAGCCAGTGCTGCAAGGGGCCACAAAAGTGAGGAAGGTCATGGAGCCTCTCTACTAGGAGAGGTTGAACCACATGGGACTCCTCAGGCTGAAGAGGTGCAGCCACACATTGGGGGCATCTTCCCAGGCTCTTCTCTGGGTCTTCCAGATGCCTCTACATAGCACTGCCTATGGAGATGCATGAGAGGGGCCAAAGGCAACTGTGGTGAGGCTACAGAAGAGTGCACGAAGGACAGGAGGGGGCTGGCGAATTGGTGCCATGGACAAGGAAAGAGCTTGGGAAGAATGAATGGAAGGGCAGAGGAGCAATTCCCTTGAGGCGGGACTTTAGAATCATAGAATCATAGAATGCTTAGGGTTGGAAGGGACCTCTAGAGATCATCTAGTCCAACCCCCCTGCATACGCAGGGACACCTAAAGCACATGGCACAGGACTGCATCCAAGCGGGTTTTGAAGATCTCCAGAGAAGGAGACTCCACAACCTCTCTGGGCAGCCTGTTCCAGTGCTCTGTCACCCTCACTGTTAAGAAATTTTTCCTTAAGTTCATGTGTAATGCAGCCCAGGATCCCATTGGCCTTCTTGGCCACGAGGGCACACTGCTGCCTCATGGTCAACTTGTAATTTATTCCTTGTCACGTAGATGTACAGGCCTGAGCATCAGCCACCTCCGTAATCTCTACTCCACTAGTCATGGTAGATATAAGATCTTAATATCATGTTCACAAAGTGTGCTGAATGCAAACACTGAGATCTGTATATTCAACTCTCCAGCTTGTGGATGCTGAATATGCATCTGGAGCATACATCAGTGATTCAGTAGCTTCTGACCCAGAGAATCTCAAGTCTTTCTCTTCTCGGACTGCAGATATAATTACTCCAACCTCTGAAGGGGTTGAGCTTAAGTGCACAAGACTGAAAGGAACCAGTGAGGGTCACTGCATTCAGCTCCACCCCTACTGCAGGCCAGGACATGATAGATGTCTTGTTCAGAAAGGTCGACAGTGCATGCCTTCCATGTGGCACTACAAACACAAACGCTTCCTATGATCTGTAACAACCAAGCTACAGGAAAGAGCAGCAAAAAACAACATTCACACACAGACCAGAAAGAAAAGCAAAAGCATAACCAGCATTTCAGACTCCTGCAATAATGGACAAAACCAAAATAAAATGAACAATCAACAAAAATAACCCTGCAAATCATCTTTATAAGGCCCAAATGATAGAAGAAAAACAAGAGACAAGACTTCAGACCTCACCTTGGATGTGTCCCCTTCTGCCCTAATCCTTCTGATAGCTTGCAGTTAAGCAGGACCTACCCCCTACACACTTCAGGATTTCAATGGCAATAGCACTGATAATCATCTGCACATTTCTTCACACAGCCTGACGCAGCCAATGGCACTGGAAGGCCAGAAGTAATGTAAAAAGACATGCAATACAGAAGAGAGAAAATATTTTTGTGGACTTCAATGTCAATAAAAAATGACCCTGAAGAAGGATATTAAGCCTTGATTTCTAAATTTCAGAAACTGCTCATTCTGTTGTACAACATCCTTGATAAATTTACCAATTTCTGCCTAAAAGCAACTCAAGATTTTGTTCTCTCCTGTTTTTCTCCGCTTCAAATTCACCCCACATCACTGCTGAAGAACTTTATTATAGAGCCCCAGCTGAATTTATTGATGATCAAAGTGTATATTTTTAACGCATTCTCCAGCACACTACATCACATTTCGTTCCTTTGTAACTAACTCACTTGCACCTGGTGGCAAGTACCAAGACGTAGAAAATAGGTGTCTTGAATGCAAGACCCAGCAAATACATGGCTGGCATGCTTGACTGCATAGGCACACTCACATTATTCATGATAGTGGGGAAGATATGCTCCTCTTTGCCTTACAACGTAATTGATGAAACATGATGTAGATTATCAGAGGCATGAAGTTATTTCATTGTCTTAAGCCGCATATGCTCATTTCCCTTTTTCAACAGTCACAACATGTACTGAAACAATAAAATTCACTTAATTCACATTCCTAAGGTGAAAAGCTCTTCTTTGAGGACATCTAGCATTGGCAAATGTTTCATTTTCTAAGGGCTTATCAAGCTCAACTATAGCAATTGTTGTGAATCATAGATCATACCTGAATTCAATTACATTTAACTTACATTTAACTTGTTTTGATACTAATAGTGGGTTTAAAACCTGTTGATGTAAATCATTGTGAAAGCTTCGGAATTGCTTGATTTATTGAAGCCCCCATCCCCTTTTTTTAAGAAAAATATTCAAACCAAAATAGTCTACAAATCTGTTTATCCTCTTTGCCAAGGTGCCTGCAGAACAAGAAAAATATAATCAGTCATTTCAGCATGAAAAACACAGTGCTACCAATGCTGTAAAAATATTCTAAGTGAAGTTATGTTCCAAGAAAAATGTGAAGTGCTGAAATTTGAAATTGAAATTCTGGGATCAGGTATGTTACTTAGGAACATACCTGTACATATTTTGAAATGTTTACTCGCCAGAAAGAAAAACAAACAAGTAAACAAACAAAAAACTTACTAGCTTAAATTTCAGTGGTGTGTAAAAATTTTACGCTTCAAGAGAAGGAAAATGACTTTTAAAAAAAATGATTTTTAGACTGAATAGCTAAAATGTTGTACTGCACACCTAATTTCATGAACCTGAATGTTTTAAATTGATATGACATGCAAGAGTAACAGAAATAATGTTAACATACTATTTGAAAGACTATTGGGGTCTGAACAGTTAAAGTTCAATCATTAAAAAGAACTGAATATCCAGAATGAACACATACCACTTAGCAGCATACAATGTGGGAAAGGCTTTTTCACCTACTTTGATATCTTCGCAAAGAGAAAGTTGGATTCATTAAAAAACAAACCTGAAGTTAATTGCATCCCTCAGACTTTGCAGGATTCAAAGGTCCTTGCATGACTGCACCTGAGGAACTCAAGTAGCCCTCCTTCATAAGCAGGTTAATAGGCACAACTTACTATTGGTTTTACTGGTCACTGTACCTCTACCACACTGTGTTTTCCATTAACTCAGAAGTTACCAAAATAGGCTCCTCACCACTTGGGAGAAAAAAAAAAAAAAAAGTTGAAAATAAACAAAATTAGAAAATATAAAGGGCAATTACACCATTCCCACACATCAACTTGTTTTCATTCCTACTTTGAAAAAAGAAAAAGGAACAAATAGCACTGCTCAGATGTTTGAGACAAATATTTAAGCAAGCTCCAATGAAACTTGGATCAGCAGTGTTGCTTATTTGTGTTTCTGAAACTATGGTCCACTCTGTGTTAGAATTTCTGACTTTCACAATATTTTGTTCTTTTAGTAAGCAGACTTAGGCACTCTGAATAAAGCTGAAGATTTTCTTGTGTTTGAATGTAGCTTTGAAGAATCAACGACAGAATAAAGCAATGCAAATTGAGGTCATCAGCACGTCAGCTACGTTTATATGCACACAACAATTTGTAATAAAGACCACTTAACACTAAAAGGGTTCACTTCATGTATAAGTCAATTCTGTTTTGCATTTTCTTTTTTTCTTCCCCCCTGACTCATCCCCCTTATTTATTTATTTTTTTAAACAAGCTGTCTTTACTTTAGGATTTATTCGCCTTTTAAACACTCCACAACTTTGCATAAGCTTGACACTTTATAACATGCATTGATTATTCACGATCTAAAAATGGTGTGTCAATGGTGTGGTGTCACCTCTCTTTTTGGTGGTGGGGGAAAAGGGAAAGAAGTTTTATCCTTTTCTCCAGTTAAAACAATGTCTCAAGATATCTGTTTGATTGATGAAGCTTTTTCTTGTTGACAAGTACAGATGTTACTGTGCCAACAGATGCATTCAATTTCTAATTAAGCTCTTCAAAAAAAGAAAAAAAAAAACACACACACACAAAAAAAACCCACACTAGCTTTAGCAGTACCCACTTCATGTACTGTTGCCCTACAACCTAATCTCCAAGAAACCTTTGCCATAGCAACTTACCTTTTTACAGTAGAAACATATTCCTAATGCTACTATTCTAAATACTGAAATAATGATAATGATTTTTTCCTGATATGCATGTTTCCCCTGCATGTTTTTTTAGACACCCTGATTTTGTTTTTTGACGCTAGCTCTGCTTCAAGTTAACTCAATTACTAGAGAAACTAACATATCTTCTATCTGAAACAAAGCTTGAACATTACTTACATAGTATTTATTACAGAAACAAAACTGCCGCGGGCAGTCCTAACATTCATATTGTAACTTCAGGCAAAGAAAAATATCTTGATCTAAAAGTACAGGACAAATTTGCTTAACTCTCTCTCTCTGTTAAAACAATTATCCATGACATTTTACGAGACACTTAAGGCAAAGTGAATAGCCTTTTCCCCTACAACCTAGACAGGCAAGGCTTAAGCAGCATTATTAAACAGTGACTAAAGTAAAATAAAATAAAAAAGTCAAAACAAAAACAAACCCCAAATTCTAAAATCGTTTGTTGAAAATGAAAGTTTTATTATTAAAAATATATATATTATTAAAAGAATAAAGTCATGGATTTTTATATATTTTCTTCTTTCCAAAACTAAAGAAGATACAGGGATGCATAGGGATTTTCCTTGAAAAAAAAAAAAAAAACTTATCAGAAACATACTCTAAGTTTTTATTTGAGGAGCGTAGGGAGGGTAAAAGAGCAACATATAAGAAGGTTAAATGAAAATTCTCACCTAAACGGTATAACACCCACAGTAAGGCCTTAAAAAAAAAAAAAAAAAAGAGAGAGAGAGACAAAGGAGAAAAAAAAAAAAGGTATCTTGCTAAAATGTTGAAATGGCACTGTGTGAGGTGAATTGTTGAAGAAACCTAACTACAGATAAAAGAGAAAGGACTTCAGTTCTGTGAAGCCACAACTAACCATTGGTTTTGGACAGAACTGCACAGCGGTATAAACCTTCAAGTCACCATGTCACCTTGGGAGTCTGATAGAGCTGTTTTCATGTCTGCTTCTGCGACTGATGTTACGGGCTGTAACTGATGGCCCCGACGCCCAAAGGTGAGTTACCTGCATGAAAAGAGACAAGCAGAAAAAAGAAGGACTGATGAAGACGGCCACCTCAGCCCCTTATGACTGCCGAGACAAAACCAGTCGGAGGGTCTACGCAGGCAGGATTTCTTTCACTTCGGGAACACCGGGCTTTGGTTTTTGAACTTCAGAAGTCTTTGACAGGAAAAAAAAAAAAAAAAAGAAAAGCAATGATTCACACACTCGGTAACCCCTAGGAGCATTTCTTTATGCTTTCCTCACAGCAAGTCTGACGTAGCCTCAAGACCTTTTCTTTAGGGCCTCGAGGCAACTACGCCACCAGTAACTTTACACTTGTAAATCTCAGCAACTCTGGGCACGCAAACCGCTGCCAGAAAATAGCGCCTAAGCCACTTAAACCGATAGCGGGAAA